GTTTTAATTAAATTGTCAAATTATAATTTTTTTAATCATAATAATTAAATACCCGTATATTAATAAAAATGTCAACTCATATTGAATTTTTTTACTTATATCATATAAAATTTTTGATATTATTTACTATTAAATAAATAGAAATAATATGGTGATATGCATATGCATAAGTGCAGAATATGTTTGTTTAATATTAAGCAAAATAGATTAATTTTTTATTTAATTAGAAAAAAATAATTTAATTTTATATAAAACATTACTTTGGATTATAATTAAAATGTCAAATTATATTTTTTTTAATCATAGTAATTAAACACCCGTATATTAAATAAAAATGTCAACTCATATTTAATTTTTTTACTTATATCATATAAAATTATCAAGATTATTTACTATTAAATAAATAGAAATATATGGTGATATGCATATGCATAAGTGCAGAATATGTTTATTTAATATTAAGCAAAATAGATTAATTTTTTACTTAATTAGATGTCTAATACATCAAGTGTTGTATCCGTCGTGCTTTGAAGTTTTTTAATTTTATATGTAATTTTAGAATTTAGATAAATAATTATTTATTTTTATTAGATTGATAACATACCAATTGATTTGAAATATATATTACTTTTAAAAGAATACAGACCAATTTCTATTACTTTATAATGTAATTTATAGTTTTATTTGATATCTTTTAATTTAGTTTGATAAATAAACTTAAAATTTATTTATAAGATTATATATCAACCTTTTTTGTATTATATATATAATATGGATGTCAAATCGAAAATCGATAAAATATACTTAATTTGATATATCATATATAAAAAATAAAATACAAACAAAAAAGTTATAAAATCTTAAAATAAGAAGGAAAAGAAACATTTATAATAACTAATGAATGAATTAAATAAGAAAATGAAATGTAATGTATGTTAGTATAGGAAAAAAGAAATATAATAATTTATGGTAAGTAATTGTAAAAATAGAGAAGGAAAAACAATTATGGATGTAGTGGTGATAAAAAATATTAATTTATATTCAAACCTAACTCCAAAGCATGATTTTTTGCCAAATAGAATTACGAAGCGTGAGAGTTTGCTACGTAGCAAATGTAATAGTAGGTCATATAAGCGCCNTTCAATGGTTATAATAGGAAATGATATTAAAATATAATTAATACAAATATTAATTTATATCCAAGCCTAACTCCAAAGCATGATTTTTTGCCAAATAGGATTCCAAAGCATGAGAATTTGCCACGTAGGCTCAGCGCATTCTGAAATTATATATAGAGAGGATTTCGGTTGTTCGTAACATTGTTGTGTTGCTGTTGTATGAATCTTTTGTGATCTAATGATGCTGAAACTGATAATGATTTATGTGACTTAAACTTATCTTGTTATTTACATGCTTTAACTTTGCTGCTGCAGGAAGACAGGGACAATTTTCTGTGTACAGCACTAGGGGGATATAAGCGATGTTTGATCATCGGTGAGAAATATGATGTTCATGTGGTAAGTGCTAAGTAATAGAATTTATTATCTCTGAGTTATGTTTTTTAAAATCTGATTTTGCTTACAATACACAAAGAGTATATATTCTGATAAATATAGAGGAATTCATGCTCTTTCTTCCTTTGCCACTCATGATGGCTAAGTATCAAATTTTTTCTTTATGTTAGCTGAATCTTAATTTTAATGTCAACTTTCTAAAATTTGACAAGTTCTTGTCTGCTGTTAGGTATTTCGACTTGTTTCGCTATGGTTCAGTCTTTCAAGTAGACAGATTGTTGTGGATAGCATGATTAGTACTATCAAGGAGGTAAAGTTGTGATTATTAACACTGTAGTTGATAGATTAAATATTCCTTTTCTGCATTCTGGAACTACAGTTTATCTATATTTAGCATTTGGTTTAATTAGTTTATCTATTGATACCTTCCCTTAGGTACAATCTTATAAGTTTATTATATTGGTATACCAAATTGCATCAAGACTGAGTGGCACCAGGGACTCTTTTG